CACATTTAAGGTAAATTTCATTTTGACTATCTCCTCACCAAAGAAAATTTTTGAGAAATTTTCAGGCTAACAGCAAAATATATTGATTTTTATAGATGTACTGGATTCGGTTTTATAGCGGGTGCTATAAGGATATGTGGTTTAATAGGAACTACAACTTACAAAACTTTAGTTGGTGCACCCTTAATTGCGCCTGCACTGTTAACTGCATTACCGTTATTAGTAGCTAGTGTCGCAACATTTAAATTGCCTCACACGGATACAGTTTTCTTGTAAGAATACTGCGAGTAAGTGACAAAAAAAAAACAAAAAAAAAAAAAAAAAAAAAAAAGGACAACAATAAAAGAAGCAAAAAATTAAATCTATATTTTAATGAATTACTTGTGAACTATGCTAATGTTTTTATTCGATATTGTCACATGATAAAAAAATCTCGTGATACATTTTAATCCGAAAGTTCGGTTTTTATTAGGAATGTTTAAACTAAAATTATATAAAGTGAAGTGTTTTGGACAAGTGCAAATTTTTGAATTTGCAAACCAAGTATATAATGTTTTTTTTTTTTTTTTTTTAAGTGCGGCTTCGTACAAAGTGACATATCCTAAACTAATGAATGGAACGATATATCGTGGTTTGCATACAAAGTTGAATATTTAAAACGCACAGAGGTTGAAGAATAGCCGTCTCGTACGCTAGGATATGGACTTTCTACAAGATTTTAATACATGTGTTTTGAGCGCTAATGAAAATCATTGTTATAGAAAGCTCTTAGGGAAAAAAGACGAAATACGTACAGAGATTTAATATTTGAATCACATTACATGGAACCTCATGTAGAACTTGTATTCTGAGATTTCACTCCATTTATCTTTAAAGCCATTATGCGACTTATTCTTCACAGAAAAAGGTCGTAAAATGCACATATGTTTATAAAGCTATTTTAATAGGGCAATAGCCACGAAACGTGTCAATTTTAATGGATGTTAAAAGCAGTGGAAATTTTCATCCATACTGATACGTCACACATAAAAAGAAAATTAAACACTATAAAATTTTGCTTACTGAAAATGCATTTGAATATCCGGAATAGAAAAATATGGAATGTTATTCATAGTGTGTAGATTTTGTTTTATTTATAATTAGACTAGTGAAATTATGCATGATTCCAAAATTACTACATACTAAGCAATTCAATCGAAAAAGTTTGCCAAGGACAGTATCATGGAAATTTTTATATTTACGATTGCTACATACGCTTTTGCCATTTGAGAAATTAAATATATATGTATACATATATATGTATATATATATTATATATACCCTAAGAGAATAGATAGGGAACCTTGAATCGAATTATAATAAATTCTTCCTATTGTGAAAGGAAAGTTATCGAGCAAAGATATATTCGGTACTTTTGCTTTTTAAAAATCAACCAGCTTATATTCACTTTAGACGCTAGACTCGGCTAAGAGGCATTATTTATGCAACCCATGTAAATGCTGCCGTTGAATTTTAAATTCCCCAAAGTAAAGACTTTAAATCGGGAGATAGAAGCTTTAGCTTCGTTTATTATAAATCTGAGATTATCGCCTCTAGTCAACTTTTAATCGTCTTTAAGCTTACAAAGTGCGAATGAATATTTAAAAACATGCGTCAAACTTTTTAACACTTATAAACGAAGTAGATGGCATTATTTTCTACAAAATCAAGAATGTATACTATCATGTTAATTATAAAAGTCGCTAATTGCATTTTACAAATACTTGGCTAAAATTTTACTGTCACCGCGGAAAAGAAACCGTGATGACATGCCAAAGTTGAAAAAATACTGGTTCCTCAGAACGGATGACTATTTTTAGGCAGTAAGAACATAAAATAAGTTTTATGATATGATTATCGAGATATCTCATTCTTATTGAAACTTAAAATATATTACTAAGTATTTAAGGAAGTTTATTAGTGAGATAAAGACAAACTGCTGTTGGCAAACTTAATCACATAAAAATTTACGTCCCATCATGGTTAGTGAATTTTTCATATCAAATTGTTGGCATCTAATTTAAAAATACAAAAAAAAAAGATGTTAATGTTATAAAGCGAGTGCTACGACTAGCGTTTATTTAAAAAGAAGTAGAAACGAGTTAAAGTTATTATATCAGTCGCACAAGTTTTCGTATAATAATTTTATTTTTCATTACGAAGTAACAATGTAATGATTTCAATGTATTAAAAATGCTGCTCGTTCCTACTTCCGCAAATTGTGAAACAAGCCTGTGCTGGCATTCAAATTCATACAAAAGTAGAATAATTTCCTAATCTCCTTTGTATTTTTCTTCTTCTGTTTTTAGAATAACAAACGTATACCCTCGGAGTAAAATATTTCTTGAAGATAAATTTGCGTTTAAATCTTATTTGAATTGGGACCACATGACCACAAAACTAATAGATTCATAATTAAAGCATTATCATAAAGTATCCATTAGAAAATTTTTGTTAAAAAATTGCTAGCACACGCGGTTGCACATGATTAAATCATATTGCTCCTCTATTAAATTCATCGTCGCCTGTAGGTAATATATTTTAATCGACATATCACTTATGAACGAGCACTTTAGATTCGTAGGCTTTAATTAGACTATCAACTAAACGTATTTAGAAATGTGTACCAGGAATCGTAAAAAATGAAACTTCAAGTTGGTAAAATAGTGGTATGAGTATACAAAAAAAGCTACTAAATAGTTATTAAATGTTGAGGATTTCTTTTACCGAATTTAATCGATCAATAATGATGAATACTTCAATTGTACACGGATTGATTATCAGCAGATCAAACAATATAATCGCGACAAATTTTTTAATATGAGAAATACTCGTGAATGTAGCTTAAGTGATATTTAATGCAATACTGTATTATGAAGTATAAATGTTATTTTTATTTTTAAGGATAATTGCACAAGTATAGATAGATGTTTTGCTTCTCTTTTCTTTCTCCCTTTCTTCTTCTTGTCTTTTAAATTGAATATTGATTTCATAACATTAGTAAAATATTTGATTTCTTAATTATTCCAATCCGTTATACAAAGTTATTACAATATGGTACAACATTTTGTTCTAAACTTGATACTATTTTTTACTCTAGATATTTGTTGTAGTCCTTCGTTTTATCAATTATAAATATACTAATTGTTGAGAGTAGCTCATTCCATACAAATTACGAATAACGATCAGTTGATAATCGCCGTATTTTTTGTGTTTGCTTTTGTAGAGACTGTTTTTTAATTTTTAAATATGTAAGCTTTAATTAATTAGGTAAATAGAAGTATGTTGTCCATTATCCAGTGATAGCGAGGAAGAAATTTAAATTCTTTGAGACTTAATTCTGGTTGCACTTTCTATCAAGAAACTTTTTATCTTTTCATATCTTAATTAAGCACTTGATTTTGATTCAGTGTAAAGTAATTGCAATATTTAATTTCACTTTTTAAAGAAAGACATTTATCCTATTAAAGGTTCAGTGCAGATACAGTGTTTACAAATTGAGTTCTCAATATATGCCTGTTTTACATATTTTGTTAATGTTTTTATTTTTGGTTTATTAGTCGCATGTGAAAAGTTTGAAACATTACTACGAATGGAAAGTAATATTCACCAAACTATGCAATTAGTACTTAAAAAAAAACAAATTACAATACTATTTGGTAGTACAATGACTCATTAGGAAATATTAATTTGAAAAATTAGTAAGAGCATTGAGCATTATAACATTCGTTTCAATACTCATATAGAACACTCAGTCGATTTAATAGAGACTATTAATTATAAGATAGAGTCAGAGTAATGGACTAACTTTTTCTTGAATATTTTATCAATTCTATTAAAAATTTATTGTTCTTCATCGCAAAATATAATTCTTTCCCTTCTTAGTACGGACAAGCTTGGTTTTTAATACTTTGTATAAAGAAATTTTATATTTGAATTGTTGGTTTAAAGATTACTTAGATCGAAGTTGAAAAGACCACTTGCATAATTTTAAAGATGTTTTTGAGAACTTCATTTTTCAAATATGATAATAACTGCGATTTTTTAAATAGTTTTTTTTTCGAGGGACCCAAGAACAGAATATAAAGAAGAGAACGACTTAATATTTCACACGAGCTTCGTGCTGATAATGAATTGATTAATTTGTATTATGGCAATACATATGTAAAAAAAAAAATTGTTAAAATAATCGCAATTATAGTTTTAAGTAATATATTTTCTCGTAATCCTTTTAGAGCACTCATTTTACGTTAAAAATTTGTATATAATTCGTAAGAAAAAATTTATAAGTTCTTGAAAATTTCATGGCAATATGTAGTAAATTATTCGTAATATTAACTGTCATATAATTATCGTTATTATTAATGTCACGTATCATTTAGTTTCGATTGAATTCGATCTCTCGAACCGATACAGCTTGTATACCGTAAAAAAGACATTAAGTTTCTAGAAAATTTAAATATTTTGTTTCGTGATATCGACGAACGTAAAAAGCGTTTAGCATTGTTTAGGGAAATCATGATATAGTAACGCGTAAGGGAAGTATTTAACGAATGGATGCGAGCAGTTGCAATTCGAGAATCGAATTGAACACTATACAGATACTATGTACTTTCCAGTAATATCTTTTATTCCACTGTAATTCTACCATAATTGATCGGGCGCATGTAAGAGTAGTCGAACAAGAAAATCCAAATTCGTGATATTCTGTATTCGCTCAGCTTTTTAAGTTAGTAAAAAATATATTTGAAGCGATCACAATGGACTCATTACCGGCACGGTACACCTCCTACTTATATCCTAATATAAGAACAAGTGTTGTTTTACTATTTCGTTACCATTAAAAATAAAATAGCAATATAGTTTGTCATACATTTGGTAGTTTATAATCATTTACAGACTCAATGAATAGACGCGAAAAATAAACAATATAAACTTATTTATTTTCTTAATTATATTTATTGAATAATTACTTACCTCGAAAATGTATGAATTTTTTTCTTAATTTATTAGAAGAATTTAAATTGTAAAAATAGTTGGCGCAAAATTAAAACTACTTGTTGTTCCGCCATCTTTGTTAATGGAAGATGGTAAAGAAGAATCACTGTCGGTAGAAAGAATACTTTCCTCCTTATCGATCGTGAGTTTTGAAGAAAATTATTTATCGACAAATCTTAAACAATAATTTTCTAATTCCCTCGCAAAATGGACGTAGAAAAATATAAAAATGCGTGCTTGGATATAACAATCATGTCATCGTACGTAACGTAATCAGGTATAAATAATTATCTTTTTATACTCGTAATAATCGTCGTGTGCATAAAAATAGACCATAGTTCAAGTAATTATTAGTCAGAAACTAAACAAGTAATTGTTAACACAGAAGACATAAACATTTACAGAAATACTGCCTGTACCTGTTATGTTCCTTTGATATTTCCCATCGATCATTCACCTTGAGCTTGACCTTGGGTGTGTCCTCAACATAAGTAGTACGACGATAATCGTGTCGAACGAGCCCTGACCTAACCTATTCTAGGCTATGTCTTGGTTCTTTATATACAGACAAAGCCTAGGAGAGGCTAAATCAAGTTACTCTGTCCTTTAAGAATGGATATCACGTGGTCATCTTGTAAGTATCTTACAGCGCGAATTTGTCTCATGTAACTTTCCATGTATGTTATATTTCAGGTGACTGTTTTGTGGAAATAACCTCTCAGGTATATATACCTCTTTCAGTTTTGCTTAATTTGTTTTTAAATGTAATTTTATCAATCGTTATTTGTTCTTGACGCAATGCAGCCACAAAGAAAAAGTCAGCCTCGTTGGCATACGCAGTTTTTTCAACGTAGCTCTTTTTACAACAGTGCTCCGGACGACACAAAGAAAGCGTGTCATGCCTAAAAATACACGAGGCACGCAGGTAGATGTGAAGAGGTCGTAGGGACTGGGAGGGAATAAAAAAAGGCAAAGGAATTGCACAAGAGCAGCGATTTGGTATTCAAATCGCTAGGCATGTTCCCGCCTCTCTCGTGGCACAGGTCCTCCTCCCGTAGCAATAATACGAAGGCCTTCTTCGTTTAAATGTTTTCACTTCTTGTTCTTCCTCCACCCCCACCTCCTCTATCCTCTGCCCCTCCCCCTGCGCCTTTTCGTTCTCTTCTCGAGCCGCCTCTTAACGTCGAATCTTTTTTTTTCCTTGTCGCACTTTTTACTTGATCACCTTGCATTATTTTGCATAGAATTATTTTTCTTTTTTTATGTCATTTTTGATTATATAGTAAATAAACGATAATCGGTATTATTAGGTTGCCCAGATTGTTAATTGAAACAGAAAATTAGAAACAACAAAATCAAATACAACACTTTCATCAATGAAGCCTTTATATAACTTGAATATTCATCGTAGAAGGTATTCGGTCAACTGATCAATTTGCACTGATATCAAATTACTCGTTCACTTCCAGGTAGAAATGTCCTCGGAAAACTTCAATGCGAGAACTAGCAGAGACGTGGAGACTTCAACGACCGCACGTGCAATGTTCGACTAGCACGATTACATAAAGTCGAGACTATCGAATCGAGGGAGTGATTATTTCGTATTTCCGGTTGTCTCACTTTTTCCTAAGACATCCATGCGCTATGAAGTAAAGCTGTTCCATCGTTGTATTCAAGAATAAATGAAATACCGTCCATGTCGATGTTTCGTCACGGTTATAACGTACACGGCCGCTCAACCGGATCCTGAACGTTCACCAGAGGGAAAACCTTTTTATTTATCTGGAATCGAAGCTGTTTAGTCGTTTCACACCGAATAAGCTCGTAAATATTAACGTATTGACTCTACTGCACTCGTGGCAGAACTCTTGCACGTCCTATATCCACGAAATCGAACAGAATTGCTAACAAATTTCCATTTAAATCAACGTCACGCCAATCAAGATTCGCAAATGCATTGTGTTCGTTGTGAAATCTTTTCAACCATCCTGGATTTTCCCGCGTGTCATCGCACATTACACTGGTATCAGGAGCGTCACAGATAGGTACGCGAAACGGAAAGGAAAATAGTCATCCGTGCGCTGACCGGAAGAAGTTTATGACGAAGTCGGAAAAGACAACGAAAACTCACGTGTCTCTCGAAAGGTAAAGTGCAAGGAAGCGGCTAACGAAAACGGTGATTGGTATACGTGGCACCGGATTGGCCGCTGGCATACCTTGACGACACGCACAGTGTGTGCGCACATCGGCAACCTGTGCACCCACTAACCACTAACCGCTGAACCACGGGAGGCCAAGGTGTGCGCGCGCCAGGATAATATATGTATCTACGTGCGTTAACCACGTGAGAGCGACCAGCATCTTTCCACGGGGCCTCTCTGGTGGGGACTTAACCTATGGACTGCTCTTTGTCTCTGTCTTTCTCTTGCATGAACCTTGAATCCTCGGAAAATCGCTGGAACTTTAATATATCAACGAATTTTGATTCCATCGCCAATTACAAGATTTTTTCTTTCAGTAAGATCTTTTTAGTTAATCAACGCTTGATATTACACTATAAAAAAGTGAAAAAATTGCTTTTATTTTTCAATCTTTTTTTTGTACAGATTCCATCACTGGGATAAGAACAATTTGTTAATGGAAATAAAGGACAACAGTGTCTTGGTTTGTTCGATATATAAATAGATAGCTTTCTTCTTTTTCTTTTTTCTTTGGCAACAAAACTCAATCATGATGACGTCGTAGACATATTTGTTTCGACGTAGTACATTTCCTCGCGTAGTTAGCGTCGTTTTTTACCTTCATCATTGTACTGTCATTTACTCGGCATGGTAGTTAGCGTCGGTGTCTCGTTTGCCAAGGTAGGCGCTTACTTTTTTATTCGCCACCCCGTAGACGGCGAGTTCTCACTCAACATTCCCGGCAATCTCTGATCGACGAGTTTTTATGAAGGTCGTACGAACTACGTGAGCCTACCCACTTACCCAGCTGCATCGCTAATGTACGTGTTTATGCTATTTGTGGCCGCGTGAGATGCGCAAAAAATGCATCGATGTTATATATAATAATATATAATAAATTATATATTATCGTAACAAAGGTTTAGGAACAGTAATGATTTTATTCATTTCCGGTTATCATTTACGTACATGCACGGTTACAATTTTTCTACCAAGTATTTAAAAAATGCAATTCAGACATGCGAAAAAGAAACATTTTTCTGAAAAATAGAAATGGAAGGAAGATCAAATCATTACTATGATTGTATCTCAATGATTGTAAATGGTCCATAACTTCCTTTAAAAGTACAGCAATTTTTTTTCAACGTTAGTTCTCACAATGCATATTAAGTTTATGCGAGGAAGATATTTTCCATAAAATATATGTAAAAGTTTCAATAACAATGCACGAAATATTGGAGTGCAATCAATGTGAGTCTTTACTTCGTGATTGGTAGTCAGTATTCCAAATTCTCATTTGCAACTTCGAAGATGAAGATGGCGGCGGACTACGGTAATTTATTAACTAGTCCGGCAAGTCAAACCTGTTGGTTCCCTGCCGATGTGTTTTGCTTCTCGTGTCTGAACGCGAAGTACTGGTGTCCTTTGATATCTTCCTACAGAAAATTGTCTCTTAATTTTCCATACCATAATGATCTTGTGCTTGCAGATCCATTTTTCATTTCCTTTGTATCGAACCTTAAATTATAATTAATCATTAACCATGTAAAAATATTCCGTTACTTAAAAAAAAAAAATTAACCGTTGTAGAGTGTTCAGAGAAGCTATTCCATGATTGGGGTGGTCTCTTGATGCCTGCGGTCTGACAACCCGTGGGCTTTTCTACTGGATGTATATGTGTAATCAGCACTATGCAGAATAATATTTCTTTCGTCTAATTTGAAGGTATATGGCATTTACATTCTTGGCTTTACATTACAGATCATATTACACGAGTTATCAGTGAAGAAATTTACAAGAAAGATGAAAAGTACATCGTATCAATGAACATCTCTTTGAAGCATTATGATTGAAAGAAACATCGTAATATCAAAAGTTGAAAACGGGTTGTAAAACGTGTCACGGAGAACATGATTTTTCGTAAGTTGTTCATTTTGAACTTATCTCTTTGCGACCCATGTCTCCTAATGTTGCAGAATGCACTATATAATTTTCAGACGTTTATTTGGATTCCATGGATTCTTCCGTTGTGCTCTCGGCTCTTAACGGTTCGATATTATGCCGGTACTGTGATTCGCAATGGCGAGCAGCCAGCGGGTAGGAAATTCTCCAGCAGTGACGTAAAAAGGTAGTGCCCGGGGGCATTTCTTTAACACGGCGCCACCCATACAAGCCCTCCCCCTCCCCCCCTTAGTAACCGTACGAATCAAAACAGGCTGCCTTATCTTTTAATCCCTATATTTCTGTCGTTCTAATTACATAGACGTCATTTGACAATTTGCTATACATATTTTTATTAAACATCTTAATATTGCGGATAATTTAATATTGCGCACTAATATTTGTTAGTAATGTTTAGGCTTAATGTTAGGAGATATTAACGTAGTAAAAGTATAGGTATTTAATCGATGTCTGTCTGAATGTCTGGTATGTGTGCAAATGACCCTGACATTTATGTTGATGCATTTCTTGTGTGTGACTGTTACTTACATCAACATATTTTATCGACAGCACGTATTCTAAATGAGTTTATCTTTTGTATAATGTTACTCATTTAATTTCGGCATAAGTACATGCTTTTGTTCTTCACGAGACATTATATTGTCCGCGGTAAAAGTCATTATGACAAGAATAAAGAATGATCTGGGAGCCATGTAATTTACGAAATTACATTTAACAGTGTCTCATAAGAACAGTGTCTGATAAGAATACTGAAGAAATCGATTGATTCCCTTTGTCGTTAATATATTCATGTTTGTATATCCCTACCGGTGTATTGACATTACCGTATGCTCGATGAAAACGAGCAAGAAAACTTGTTTAATGTACAAATATTGAGTAGCTATTAGATTCTTCTTACGCTTCGTATGACAGTTGTGACACTAAGGCGAAAGGGCATGACTATTAATTGTGAAATTTGTCGAACATCGAATGTTTCGTTTCACATTTATATAGGGAAGAAGATGACAATATGGAATCCCAGTTCGTTTTTTGATAATTTCTCGAAAACTACTGTATAAATGACTTAAATTTGGCATCGATTTAATCTTTATACATTCTCCTTTCACATGTAAGAAACACAAATAAGGAAAAAAGCCTTTAATTGGCAAATTTTATGTTTATTTAACACGGTATACGTTTTCACTCAAGAATTTTTGTGTGGATAATATGGAACCTCGATTCTTTGGTACAGAAATTATTTACATGGATATAGGAACTTAAATATTTAACAAATTCAGTATTATTATTTTTATTATTAATGTATATTTACATATATTATTATATGAAAATAACAACTGCTTTTTCTAGGCCTATTTTTCTTGCTCTGACTACTATGTTGGCTTATTGTATAATATTGACATTTATTTCTGAATTACAACAAACTATCGAATTTTTTGTGACTTCTTTTGACAGAGGAGATTGCACAATAAATAACAAATAGTTCATATAAGCCACATTGAACAGTTATACATACGATGTATCAAATATTTATGACAACCTATGGTATCAGAATTTTATTGAGATTAGCGTCTTGAGGAATGCAAGTTTAACGGATCGTTGTCGCCCAGACTTCTGCATTTCCACTGTCTTGATCCTCCTCAACAAGCTCCTTTTCGATCCATTTGCTTGCACTTGCATGCAGATACATGTTGATGCAAATCGTCTTACATCTTGAGCATAAAAAGTACCACTTTAACAAATAAAATTTAGTTTATTAGAAATGCTGGCAGTATAATATATAAATATATAAATATCGTATCGGAATTCGTATTTGTCGTTACTTAATACCTACTATTAATGTGTTTACATACGTATGTATATCTATTATGTGATATATCTATCTTATACGTATGTAAAGATAGATACCTTATAATACTTGTTAATATTTGAAACAAAGGAACAGATTGAAAAATGACAAATTTGATATAGATTATAGGTACTTGATATTGCTTTATATATTACTATTTCTGCAATAAATTTACTCAACTAATCAAACATAACATTATTCGTAGTACTTCCTAGTCATAAGTTGAATTATAGTACCAAAATCTTCTGGTAATGTAAATGAAATGTGAAGACGTTCTGCATGGTTGAAGGTCGCCAGCAAGGTCGTTTATTCTTCTGAATTATTGATGACCATAGAACACAATTAAATATATATAAAAATATAAACATTTTTATATCTCTAATTATTATATTCATCATTGTAATATACATCTATAAGGAAAATAAAAAGTTTCAATGTTCTCTCTTATTCTCTTACTCATATTCTTCTCTTATTCTTTCTTCTTCCTCTTCTTTCTTTTTTTTGTTTATTATATGTAACCTTCGATTTAATTTGAAAGACTAAGCGTCTTTTTGATCAAAATAAATTAAAATACCTTCAGCTTCAACATTAGCAAACTATTTCTGTTATTCCTATGAAGTCAATTTACCTGAGAATTTCTAATAAACTTGGTTGTAGCTCTTAGGAACTTATAAACGTGGGCGTGAACTTTTCAATAAAGCCAGTCTCGTTCGGATACTTGAACGCGTGTATCGGGATCAATGACACGCCCGCAGATTCCCTGAGGTATCCTCTACGAGCTACGTAGAGGCATCCTGTAGAATTCCAACCACCTTCCTCGACTTCACAGCAGGACCTACTGGTTTCTATTTATATACCACGCGAGACCTTGCAACTTACAGCTTGCGCGCTTACGGACTCGGTTCCCGACCTGTACAAACCGCTATCACAACTCTATCATCGTTGTAATAAATGATTATTTGATTCTTTATATCAATCTAATACATCTTGCAAATCATTTCGAATTTATATTAATGGATATTAATCGTATATTTTGTGTATATAGTAGTTCATGTACTTAGCGTGGAACATCACTCTATTGAATGTTCCTTTCACCGGTTAAAAATATGTTATCACTTTTTCCCCTAAGTATTTTATATTTTGTATATGCTTAATTAACATTTAAGGAACACGGAAGTTATATTTAAAGTGTTCTATTGTAATTCTAGTAGAATGTGAAAGTACCTAGTCAGACCATACATAGTAAATAAATTACAATAATGTACATATGTATATATTTAATACATCAATACACATTTATCTTTTTATGTACATGATATTTAATTTATATTATATTGTTTGTTTGAATTTTAAAAAGAAACAAGAAAAAATTAACGATCTAATATTTGTTCATATCATATTAATAATTATTTTGATAAAAACAAATTACGATATATAATATTTCAAAACATGATCATCACAGAGCTAATTAACTACAATATATGTATATGTACAACACAAAACAATTTTTATTTGAATCTGACAATTACAATAACGCCATCTATTACAGGGTTTGTTTACTATTGTATGCAGACACTAGTGTCTTTTTTCAAAACATTATTGTATAGATTATTTAAAAGGGTTTTTAAAGGAACCACAAAAAATATGAGTGATAAAATATCGGAAATTTTTGCTTCATTTCAAAACTATCTGAGAAACGAAGAAGAATTATGTGAGGTATATATTAATAATTTGTCATCTATCTTGAAATTATGTGTCAAAATAACGTGAATGTCAAATAATTGTAATACTACTTTAACACAATTTTGCTATGGATATCTTATCACTTTATGTAATTTTTCTTACACTTTTTCATAATAAACAATATGAATTATTTTTTATCAAATGTTTTTATGTTTCATTCTATGTGTATTTTAGGTTAGATTACATTAATACTTGATATTCTATTGTAAATTTTGTTGAAATAATAGATTTTGATAATAATTAAAAATATACACGTAAAAAGAATAAAAATCATTTCTTTTTTTATGTTAAAGGAAATCCGTACTATTACAAGAAATCTTAATAAAAGTGCCGAAGATATTCTGATGATATTACAAAATATTCATAATGAAAATAATACAGAAGAAAACATAAGTATATTATTTAATGGATTATAGCATATTTAATGGATTATAAAACTATTAAATTAGTTATTACTTTTTAATTTATAGTTGTATCTCAATATTGTGCAACATCAAGGGAACATTTTAAAGAAATTCAGGTAAACTATGCAAGACTTGCAGAAATTGTGCCTAATGACCAATATTACAGATTTCATGACAAGTGGCGTGTTGTTACACAAAAATTATGTTTTTTAATTTCTTTAATAATATATTTAGAAATCAATGTTTTGGTTACAAAAGAAACAGTTGCTGAAATATTAGGAGGTAAGTAACTATTTAAGAAATTTTATTAATTTATTTATATTGCGCATATCTTGTTCAAAATTGATACTGTACATATAGTTAAAAATAATAGACAAGATGGTTTTCATTTGGACCTAGAAGACTATTTAATGGGTTTACTGGAATTACCTGCAGAACTAGTAAGTATTTTATGCAATACAATTGTTGTTATTACTCATTATATATCATAAATTACATTTCAGAGTCGTTTTGCTGTAAATAGTGTTACCAATGGTGATTATGATCGACCTGTAGAAATAGCACGATTTGTTGTTAATTTGAATATAGGCTTTAAACTTTTAAATTTAAAAAATGATTCTTTAAGAAAACGTTATGATGGCTTAAAATATGCTGTTAAAAAATTGGAAGAAGTGGTTTATGATCTTAGTATACGAGGTTTAAAACTGTCTCCAAATCAAAATACTCAAAAAACAGAATAATTACCTTATTAAAAAATATACAAGTAATATATATTATTACGTAAAATAAACTATTGGAACAATTGTTTTTATTCATTAATTATAACATTGCATATATTCATAAATTATAACAATTATATATATTCATCTTGGTTTTATCTATTATACATGTTACGTAAATATTACCTAAAGATTTTATATATAATTAAATTTTCTAAGCACTTAATAACCTTCTTCTAAATTTATTACATTTAATAATGTTTCTCCTTTAATATATTTTTGATAATTCTGAATAAAAAATCTTACAACATCTTGTGCACGAGTTACACCTGAGATATGTGGTGAAATGGTAACCTATGTGAAAATATTTTCTATTAATTAGAACTGGACTTAATTTTAGTTTGATAAAATATAAAATTCACCTGTGGTAATGTCCATAATTTACTTTCTTTTGATAATGGTTCTTCTACAAAAACATCTAAGATTGCTCCTGAAATCCATTGTTGCTCAAGAGCATTTAATAAATCTGAATCTTTAATTATTGTACCACGACCTATGTTGATAAAGACACTGCCTCGATTTCTACAATTTTGTAATACATTTCCATTTAATAAACCTATAGTATTAGGTGTAGATGGCAGAACATTAATAATGTAATCACAGTGTGTTAATATTTCAGACAAATATGCAATTGTTCTGTGTTCATCAAGATAATCTAACTTTTCTTTAAGCGATGTTCTGGTGATACCCCAAACAGTGGCCCCAAATATTTTTAATTTTTCTGCAACTGCAAAAATATGTTTACATAGACTTAAATTAATAACTATGCTAATAACAATGAACAAAGAATCCACAAAATAATTACTTGATTTTCCAATATTTCCTAAACCTAAAATTCCCACAGACAAATCACAAATAAGTCTGTGATTAAAAATTTTACCATCTTTCATCCACTGTTTATTTTTCTGATTTTGATATTGTTGTTTTTGATTACGTTCAAAATTAAATATATGTGCTATTACATATTCAGACATAGCTAAACCAAATGCTTTGTCTGAGAAACGTGTAAGAGTATAATTAATTTTCTTATTTTTCAAATTTAATGCTTCAACACCAGCCCATGTTGTTTGTACCCACTTTACAGATGGTAACTTATCCATATATGGTAAAAATAAATTACAATCAGTTATAAGTATATCTGCAGCTTGTAATTTTGATAATGTATCATTTTTATCTGAAACAAAGAAGTGTCTAAATGCATAAAAGACTTATATGTATTGTATAATGAGATTGATATAAGAACAAAAACAGAAAAATTAAATTTTTAAATTTTTACTGGAAAAAATTTAGAAATTTTAATGTGTAAATAGTTAATTATATTCGATGAATGCATTAGAAATTTAAAGTGGATGGATTTTCCGCCAATATCTAAACCCTAAATGCGCAAATTCAGTGTACAACAAATAATAGTAATAGTACGTTTTAACACGTGCTTCCTGCGAAAGGTTTCGAAAAAATTCTAACTTTACTGGTATAAGAGGAGGTGTATGTCAAAAACAATACCTGGCAAAACATCAAATATTGTTAAGTTTGGAAGTTGCATTCGGAGATGGTAAGATAACCTAGGAATCACAGAAAGAATTGCAATACTCTGCGCCATATCGCCACGCGGGAATGTGATCTAACATCAATAAAAGCTTCTTTTAAATAAATAAAATACTGAATGATTTGATTTCAAATTATTATAAATAATTGTGAGCGTTAAATCTGTTGCTTCCATATGTTACATGAAAGTATCTAACCTAAGTTTTCGTTCAAACGTAGGTATTAATACATGTACTTCTTTATTTACAATTTCGATATTATCTTTTTCCATTAGTTTTCGTAATGTAATAAGAGTATTATTGTTTAAATGTATCGAATTTTATATTTTAACACATGCTATTTAAAAAAATCATATTAATTACGATATCTTTTTCTATTACTAAATGTCAAAATGCGTTAAAAAAATATTTAAATAAAAGAAGATATATTTATTTATCTTTAATATCATATCTGTAAAGGAAACAAATAAACAGTATTTTCTCACAAAATTAAACTATTTCTATTAATTATTACATATCGTAAAAAATTGAAAATTTGAAGTATCCTCACACATCGACGCGTGCGCAAATTAAAGACACTTAAAATCAAAATATAAATATATGTATATGCTATAATAGATAGTTGTAATTTAGTTTACTCAACAATAATTCCTCCACACTATTAATTAATACATAATGTAATGAACATAAATATCAATTGTAATTACTACTTTTTCTAAATTTGTATTTTCATAATATAGTAAAAACATTCCAAACAATTGTCAAATATATACTATTAATTTTAAACCTACACTATATATTTATTCATTTTCAGTTTTTAATCATACCGTTGTGTAAAAAATTTTTTATTTACAGATATGAAATATACGTCAAATAGATTAAAAAAACCCCAAAAAATTTAAATACCAATGTTACCATATAAGCATAATATACGTTCTTTAAAATTATCAAAGTTTAGTACAATATTTAATTTTAATATTATTATGTACTGGCAAATACTTTTTAACAAATTTAATTTCACTAACTTTTAAATTTTATAATAAACTATAAATAGTGTGAACGAGGCTTATATTGAAGGTAAATGAGAAGCGTCCAATAGACGCTCGTGAGTCGACCGGTGGCGGTAGCAAGCCGATTCCCGCGCGGCGCACGTCGCATCGCGGAACTGCTCGAGCTGAACGTGTTAAATGGCTGTGCGTCGGCCATGATGGCTTTGAGCAGGGACCGTGTCACGCAAACATGTTTTCGAAGTGATATATCTCGTTTGGTGACTGAGTGACCGTGTTCCAGCGCGATGGCCGGAGAACGATGAGGCCCTGAGCGCTCTCTGTGCCGGGTATTACGGCCGCAGGGCCCCCAACCAGGCCCAGTCAGGTTCACGTTCCCCAAGTCCGAGGCCCGAGCCGACCCGACTGGCCTCACGGTTCGACACCAGCCAACTCGGTTGTCAACACGCGAGCCAGCCGCCTCAGGATGAGCAAGCTGTCGTTCAGGGCCCGTGCCCTGGACGCTTCCAAACCCATGCCGATTTATATGGCCGAGGAACTACCGGATCTGCCAGATTACTCGGCCATTAATCGTGCTGTGCCCCAAATGCCCAGCGGCATGGAAAAGGAGGAGGAATGTGTAAGTCGAACGTTCAGCCTTCTTCCAGCATGTTTTCCCTGTCCGCCATCTTACTTTCAGGCGCATCTTCGTAAACAACCGGCAGATGGCACCTTTCATACCATTATTATGTGTAAAAATTCTTTATTTTTATTGTTAAACGTAATTGATAATGATGTTTTATATATTATTATTGTTCTTCAAACTTTTATATATCATGTTATATTATTATTGACAACTGTCAGTTTTGTATATTGAAGGAATGATTGAATCAAAATAGATGCTCCAACGTTACTATTCAACGTATAAGAATTTTTTGTTTTTAAGCTTTACAATTGTTGTTTCTCAATTTATAGTATATTATGTTCCACAAAATAAGTTTTGTATAATGATTGTTTGCTCCTGTTTTCAAATATATAAACAATAAGTATTTAATAATATATTGTAATTATATATAATGCTATATTATAGAAATATATGTAATGGTGTATACTTGTTAAAATGTTATAATACAATTTTCACAGTTTTTGACTTATAATAGCAGATGAAAAAATATAAATATTTAATATTTTATCAACTTTTATTGTATTTACTATATTAATTGTTTTCATAGGAACATCACTTGCAAAGAGCAATATGCACGGGTCTAATCATTCCTACTCCTGAAGTAACTGATTTAACTGATGTGGAAGCTTATGACAAGATATATCCAGCTGATTATAAGTTACCGCGTCAACTTATACACATGCAACGTAAGAAATCCTAATAAACAAATTTTAGTATCAACAGAGTAATATTATATATATAACAAATTTAATAACTGTATACATGTTTTCTAAAGCTTTTGCAATGGAACAAGATATTCCGGATTATGATATGGATTCAGAAGATGAAAAATGGGTTGCAGTACAAAGCCGTAAAATGGACTTAACTCCTCTCCAGTTTGAAGAAATGATGGATCGTCTGGAGAAAAGTTCAGGACAAACTGTAGTCACTCTTAATGAAGCTAAGGCGCTTCTGAAAGAGGATGATGATCTAATTATTGCTGTGTTTGATTACTGGCTGAATAAACGTCTTAAAACAGTAAGCTTTTAAATATTGCAAATTCATGTTCTAATAATTAATAATTAGGGATAAAATTTTATTAACGCAATCATTTTCTTTTTTTTTTGTCTCAGCAACATCCTCTTCTATTAACAGTAAAAACAGAACATCGGTTTGGTTCAGCTGCCAATAATCCTTATTTAGCGTTTAGACGTAGAACGGAAAAAATGCAAACTCGCAAAAATCGTAAAAACGATGAAACTAGTTACGAAAAAATGCTAAAGCTCCGTAGGGACCTTAGTAGAGCAGTTACTCTTCTTGAAATGGTTAAAAGAAGAGAAAAGACCAAACGAGAACACTTACATCTTACAATTGAAGTATATGAAAAAAGGTATGTAAACAATTTTTTAAACTTGTTGCTTTTTTCTTTTCATAAAAGTAAATTTTGAATTTTGTGCAATTGAAATAATATATGTAGATACCAAGCACAAGACTTCAATGGGCAAATATTGGCGGAAGTATCGGCGTTGAAGGCTCCGAGACCAGCTTTTGCTCCACTCTTTACAAATCAGTTTGGTGTTCATCAAAATTGGGCAAATAAAGTCTGTAGTAAAGTGAGTAATTTAAAAGTTTTTATATTACTTTTATATTAAAGAAAAAGAATGTTTACTTTTATATTATAAAAGAGAATAATGATGATATAAATATTTGTTATTGTTTATTTCAGGATGAAGTAGTACCCAGGAAAGAAAAAAGACAATATAAAAAACGAAAACATAAAACTGATAGTAGGGGAGGAAGTTTGGAAGATAATGGAATACGGGGTGGAGCAGGTAGTGGAGGTGGTCGAGGAAATCGGCCTGGTGTTCTTGGAGGCGGGCTGGACCCGCTAATAAGCTCAGATGAAGATAGTCCGCTTCCATCTCATTCACATTCTCAGCCTTCGGTTCCCTCGGATCGTGATGATGAAGACACCGCTGATGAGGGTCAATTCGCTTTCCGACGAAATAGAAATAGCACTTATTTACCAGTGAGTGCTGTTAAGTTTTTTCGAATTTATCTTTTTCTACGTACAATGTTTATAAACAGAAATAAATCAAATATTGTACAGATTTCTATATACAGAATACAGGATTCTTTCTTAATTTTACGCGAGTTATTTAATATATCATGGGTGTCAATGAAAATTGTCATGAATTATTTTAAAAGTGTGGAAATAGTCTTAAAGTTCTTTTTTTCAGGATTGTAGATATAGAGCTTTTCTCTTTGCAGCCTGTATCAGGTGGATTTGGAAATTGGCCTTGGTGTGATAAAAGCGAAGGGGGCTTGGCTGATAAGAAGTATAGGTTTGCACTGACCAGCATCAGCAAACCAGTACCAAGATGTATTGGTTTTGCCCGACGGCGAATTGGTCGGGGTGGCAGGTACGACATTCAGATATACAAAAAAGAAAAAAAATAATGTTTTTTTAATAATATTATTTAATATTATACACTTCCAGAGTTATATTGGATCGTTGTTCAACCGATATGGATGATATGTGGTCTTCTTTAGACTTCACGATACATCAACCAAAGCGGGAACCAGTGGAGTCTGATGCAACTGCCACATCAACAACTCCAGTCAAAAAAGAGTGGTATGTTGTATAATAAAACATATATGTATACATATATATAAAATTTTGGGGAAAAAATTTAATGCATCAATTTATCTTAATAGCTTACATTTCCGACCAAAGACTCCACCTGTGTCAGTGCATAGTCCAAGCGAAGAAAGTAGTGATACGGACTCAGATATAGAGCCAACCATTCAATCGAAACCGCTTCCATACCCGTTCCCACCCGAAGCAACATCTATTTGTGTGGAAATAGAACCTGAGCGTGCGGGAGATGAACCACCTTTTACATCAGAATTCAATATTGCTGATTATTTCTCAGTGGATGCTTTGTCGGACTTCGACCTTGCCGTAGCAAGTATCACCAGTAGTGCGTGCGTTAGTGGATTAGCGGACAATAACTCTAGCGATACGCGGACAGACGAACTGGGCGGTTCACATTTTGTTGTGACTCCGCTGCCTAGTAGTCTTTTTGCACAGCCTGCAACACAGCAAAGTCGGCCTCAGTGCAGTGGTAGTGGTTTTAGTGTTGTAAATACTTCTACAAGTTCTACAGTCCCGTCGTCTTTCTCGTGTACAACCAATCAACCAACAACGTCGAGTGTAGTATCTACCCAATGCGCAAGTGCTACTAGCGAGATACAGTCAAATCAATCTAAACAGCAACAACACAGACAATTACCGAACAACAGCAGTTCTGTTTCCATTCTGTCTAAGTCCTTGACTAGTCCAACAAATAATAGGAATGGCGGCAGCTGTGGCAGTGGTAGTGCTGGAGTTAGAGTGTTTAGTGCAAGTAC